GTGTGAACTGGTCTCACTCAGCCTTGTTCACCTGGAAAATGCAATTTAACATTCTTCTTTGCAAAACTGTCAGGTTGCATGGGGATCATGCGTGAACAGCCCTTTTCAAGTCCAACCACAAATTCTTAATTGGATTGAGGTCTTGGCTCAAACCATTTGTAGCTTTGGCTGTGTTATTCAGGTCATTGTCTTCCTGTAAAACAAATCTTCTCCCCAGTCACAGTTCTCTTCCTGACTGCCTCAGGTTGTCCTTTTAGAATTCCCCTATACTTTACTGCACTAATTTTAGACTCCACCTTTACAATACTTCCAAGGCCTGTTGCCGACAAACATCCCTACATCGTGATGCTGCCGCCACCATGCTTTACGATGGGGATGGTGTGTTTGTAATGATGAGGAGTGTTTGCAATCCACCAAACACAGTATCTAGACCGATGGCCAAAAAGCTCAGTTTTGGTCTCATCAGACCAAACAGCCTTCTTCCAGTTAAATTCAGAGTCTCTCACATGCCTTTTGGTGAACTCTACTCAAGATTTGTTATAAACTATTGTCAACAATGGCTTTCTTTTTGTGGCCCTCCCATGAAGCTTTGACTGGTAAGGAACCCAGGCAACAGTTGTTTTATACACAGTCTCCCCATCTCAGCCACTAAAGCTTGTAACTCTTTCAGCAAAGTCATAGATGTCTTGGTGGCCTCCCTCACTTGTAGCTCTTGCATGATCATTCAGTTTAGACAGATTTGCATGTGCCATGTTTCTTCAGGTTCTTAATGATGTATTTAACTGTACTCCAGGGGATATTCAGTCACTTGGAAATTTTATTGTATCCATCTACTGACATGCTTTTCATACATACTTGGGGCGGCTGTGGCTCAGGTGGTAGAGCCGGTTGTCCTCCAATCACAAGGTTGGCAGTTTGATTCCCCGCCCCTCCACAGTCGAAGTGTCCTTGGGCAAGACACTGAACCCGATGGCAGTCAGCACCTTGCATGGCAGCTCTGTCACCATTGGTGTATGAATGTGTGTGAATGTGTGAATGAGAAACACATTGTAAAGCGCTTTGGATGAAAGTGCTATATAAGTGCAGACCATTTACTTTTCAATATCTTTTCCATTGAGTTGCTTAAAGTTTTCTTTTGTCTTCATGTTGTAGTTACAGCTACATAGACATGAGTACTGATTCACTAGTGGCTGGAAGTTCCAGATACAGTTTTTTTTTTTCTAGACTGCATTTACTTAACTCACATTCACTGCAATCAAATGATCTCCATTTCACCTGTGTTGAATTAAGTTAGTCGCTTTAAAGGGGGCACTAGTTATGCAATCACTCATTTTACATAATTTTAAATTAACTGCCATTTCTGTGTTTCCACTTTACCACAAGTCTTTTTAAATTGAAATTCTTATCAAAAAAATCTGGATTAAATTGACCATGATTCAATGTAACAAGCAATTAAAGGATAAAACTTCTGAAGGGGTTGAATACTTTTTATAGATACTGCAGACTGATGTTCATTCACTCTAGTAAGTGATCTTGTACATCATACACCAAACTGCATATATTGTCCTGTGTGGATGGTTCATCCAAGGTTACTATGTTGTACTTTTAGTTCCATTGTTTTTTGTTTCATGCTCAGCTTTCACTTCAGTTTCTATAGTCATAATATTAGAATGAGTTTGGTATTCAATACACTTTCCCCTGTAATACCAGTAAGTAAAGCTAAAAAAAAAAAAAAAAAAGAAATCAATATGAAAATAACCCTAAAGACATACTTACTGCTTTTAAGGCTACTTATGCACTTCGCCACAGAGTTGTTTCGAGATAGCACATGTGTTATCAACTGAATGCTAAATTCAGATTTTAAGTGAATGTAAGATGCTTACTTTTAGTTTTAGGACACTCACATTTTCCAGTTAGAACTATGATATATAAATATGACAGATATGACAAATTACAGCACTGTGCTTTATGTTCAGTGCTAACTGGCCAATGTACTTTTTTTGTTATTTACAATTCACTAGCCAGAACCACACCAATAAACTGAAGCTTGATTGTTTGTTGGATGTGAATGAGCGTTGTGTTGGTGATGACTTTCATGAGCTGATGCAGTGTGGGGAAATGCTTAGTCAGGGATCAGCAGCGGGTCCCAGGCCGGCAAACCTTTCAAAAGCATGCCATAAGAATGACATGAAGACCGGACGCAACCTGGGTCTTGAGGGTTGGAGCAGATGAGAAGCAGATACACATGAGGCCCATGGCTTTGATTATGTGGTCCGGAATCCTTCGGCTGTTAGCTGTGTCAACACTGAAGGTGTGGCCAGAGAACGTGCTAGGATTCTGGATGTCGTCGGGACTTGCTTGAAATAGAAGAGGAGTCCAGATGAGGTTGTGTTACCAGTCCCTGTAACAAACTGAAGGTGAAGCATCCTGAGATTTTCTGGTTTGTATGTGGTGTACGATGGATTTGTAAAGGCTTCGTTGTGAATCTAGCTTGAAGTACATGGTGGCTGTTGGATTACCTGTTTGATTGGTTAGACTTCATTTGAGTGAATAAACCAGGAAATCTTCAAAGACGCGGGAAGGTCAAATACTGGATGTGGAAGAGGTTCCGAAGGATGGCACTGCAGATCAAACTCAACTCGTCAGTCAATGTTACACTAAACTCTGCATCGCAGGAACAAAGGAAGGCCAATAGAAACGTTGATTCTAAAGTGCCAGCTAGAGGCTGGAACGTAGGATGTTAGAACGAGTTGATACCTTAGGATAGGCAAACGGATATCAGTGGAGATGACCGTGATGAATTATACTGTGGAGGTACGGGAATTTTGAGTCCCAGATGGAAGTGAGCAATGCACGATTGAGCTGGCTTGGATGTAGCAATGCTGAATGATGGAAGGAGCAGAATCTATTGCAGATGGAGAGAAGGGAGTCAGTGATATCATTGCAGTAGCCTGGGAAGTGTTCAGCATGGAGGAGGAACAGGTTGGAGACTGACTGCCAGGTCAGGTGATGCACGAGAGGCTGGGAGAGTTGCTTTGACTTTGTTCATGAAGACAATGAGGAGGTTAGTGAGGTGAATGAGGATGGCTTGACCATTCGTGACTCTATGGGAGGGTAATGATAACAATGGGATGGATTTTTGAATGCTGCTGACGATGACAGTTTTGAAGAAGCTGCAAGAACTCGGTACGCTACATCAGGAGACCTTCGTTAACCAGAAAACCCCAAAACTAGCATATCTGAGGAGCTGATTGCTGCTTGGGTTCTTGTTCATAAGTGACGGAAGAATGGTGTGCGAGATGGATGGGCGGATGGTGCAGTATTAGCAGAAATGTTGACACTGCACGATGATCCTCACGATGAAGCTTTCAATGTACCCAACCCAACTGTATTCGTATTTGGTTGCAACCAAGTGTCATGCAAGTTAGAAAAGGGAACTGACCAGTTTGAATGCAATCCATCCAACAGTTGTTGAGACATTTCACGCAAAACCACAAACTGAATATAAGATTTGTCTTCTGGGAAACATGGGTTTCTGTGGGGAAAATCTTGGCAGTCCAACCACGGTAATTCATTTGCAAATGAAACATAATGTTCTAAGAATTCAGACTTTCCAGCTCTCTGTTCACCTTTTTTTCATGCTTAGCTCTTGTCGGCTGGGATTCTATTGATTTGTCTCAGTGCATTTTCTTGTTGGCATGAGAGTTTTTGTGAGTATTTTGATTTGGATTCAAACTGTTGAACAGGATAGATCTCTGGCAACTGCTGGAACAAAAGCGTTTTATCGACATGAAGTCAAGTAGACTGTGTTTTTTTTTTTTAAAAACAAAAAAACACAATGCCTGCTGTGTGAGGCAATATAGCCAGCTGTCACCATGATAACAGCACTGAAACTCTCGGTAGTGTGGTGACTTATGACAATCTTCTCAGCGTGGAGAGCAATACCGGCAGAGCACTTCATGGTCATCTCATTACTGCTTTTTCAATCTGGTGTCAGAAGATACTGATCCCACTGAGCCTCAGCCGCTTGGATGTGTCAGAGAGAGTTTTGTAGTAAGAAGTGTGCAAACTAAAAATCAGCTTACCACACAGGTTGTGTGTGATTAAATGTGCAGTAAACAGGGTGCATGGACACTACTAAATCTGCAAGTTATAGATTATTTATGTGTTTTTGTAGGCCTCATAAGACAAATCAAAATAAAAGGTAAGAGAAGAAATATATAGAATATTGGAAAATCTGACTCACTGAAAGGGTTGGGTTTTTAAACCCTGTCTGATTTCAGCTCTCAGATATGTATGTGTATATAAAAGAAGGTGTGGAATGGGTGGAGAAAAGCTGCTGTAGCTGCCTAAGGTTCATTTTTCTACATTTTCTTTTATTTCAATTTCGACCTCCTTCCCTCTGTTTTGTCTCTATTTTGCAGCCTCCATTTGTTTTTGCAGTTCTTTAGGATGCAGACTTATTGATGTACGCACATTTACAACAACAAAAAATTGTGATAGGACAGCTATTGATAGGTGGTATGAACCATAACTTTTTCATTTAGCAAGTCAACGCTGAGTGTCAAAATGATGAATTGGAAAAGCTGGCGTCTCTGTGTAGCTGTGAGCTGTGGTGCAAAGACAGAGAGCAAACTGCTGACTGCCTCCTTCTGTCATAGTTTTACATGGTGTACATCCAGAACAGAGTGGAGCAGGGTGGGTACTGTCTACTGCAGGGCAGAGACCATGCTGAGATAAGCTTTCATCATCTCTCCAGAGTCCTCCCAGAAAACTCAAGTCTCCGTGTTGTTGTTTTTCTTTCCAACTAACCTTTAACTTTTTTCACTGAGAAAATATCTGAGCAGCTTTTTCTTCCACAGCTGTAGAACGAGGAGTTTTGCTGGCTGACAGCAACCACGAATTTGTGGCAGTTTTGCTTCTTTCTCACTGTGAAGAGTGTTTGCTCATTGTGTAATGCATCTGCCGAGGTTTGTGCACCTCTCTTGCTTGCTGTCACTCCTTTATGTGGTGTTTGCCAGTAACAGCTGACTCTACCAAGGTTGCAGCTGGAACTGCAACATGTCAAATTGACCTCTATCCAAGGCCCCAAGGCTTCTCTTAATGGCTCTATTCATCAAGGGCATGGACCTCTCTGAATGACCACAAAAGGTAAGATTGGTTGATCGCTGCCAGTGATGCTGCCAGAAGTGTAAAATGGAACTCTTCAAAGTGAAAGTAAAGCAGAAAATTTCAAATGAAGATATTTGTTCAGGATTTCAGGTTGTGACCACAATTCTGAGAGGCTTGTTCCTCTCCCACAACAGCTGAAGAGAATGGATTTAATGGGAAAGCTGTTATATGCCATTGGAGCGTAAGCCTCTTACCAGCTGTTTGTGTGTGAGTGTGCATGTGCATGTGTGTGTTTATATGCATCTGTGTGGCCCAGAAACATTAGCATTTTACATTCCCAAACCTCTGAATACACACCCTTTCTGACCTAACTATTTGGGGGAAAGTAGGAAAAACAAACGACCACCTACCTTTCACAGACAGGACCTTGTCTTCTGTCATTCTCTTTTTAGCCAAACTTTCAGGATCTTCAGATGGCAATGTGGGTTACTTTAATCCAGAAACTATGCAAATTATATCAAATTTTCTTCTTTTTTTCTAATTACATTTGTTTTGTCACTATGATAAAATGATTCATCGAACAGGCTTCCAAGAACAATTTGTATAAATGCCTATGACTTGTATTACTTGGAGGGATTACATCATGCCATAAAGGTTTGCAGCAAGGAGCCTTAGTAGCTGAAAAGATTACATGATTTATCTGTTAGCAAACAGTTGCTTGCTTGCACATTGGGAAATTATGGAGGAATATTATTATTTATTTGAATCCGGTCCTTTTTTGCTGCTAAATGCTCCATTATGTCACCAGGTACTTGCCAGTTGTGCTTATCTGCCTGGTGCTGAGCAGGTACAGCATGCAGTGGCTTTTTAGAGCTTTTTGACTGCTGCAGCCAAAAATGACTCTATGAGAGGAGTGAGAGCGAACCAAAATAGTGTAGTGGCAGGCCGGACATCAAAATAATGAGCTAATTAGCAGCAGATTCAAGTGCTATTTTTCTGCAGGTTCATCATTACATGCAACCCCTTCCACATTATCACGTCGTTTCTCATGTCGTCGTCTGATTTATCGGTCATATAAAGGTATCAGTTATAGCCATTTTAAAGCCTAGATGAATGGAAGATGATAAAAAATCTTGCTGTGGCCGAGATGTGACATCTTCACTGAGCCACAATGCAGTAGCTAAACCGTTCTGATTCACGTTATCGACAGGCACATCTGCCGGCGCTGCTTTAAATCTCAAGTAGCTTGGAATAAATAGCAAATCTTTTCACCATTCACCTTTGGTTAAAAACACAATGTACTGAATAACAGAGGATCTTTCACACACTATAGACAGTGAGTTGCATCATGTTGCATTTAGCCATCACATCTGCAGCAACACCCACACACAAATGCAAATGCTGAAATCTTTTTTCTGCGCTCAGTGGTGAGGCAAGTAGACAGTTCTCCATTCTTGTAAAGGAAGTGGCTAACAGTTTCCTGACACTTTTGGGTGTTGCACTGTTTGAGGTTGAGTTGTTTTGCTCACTTCAGTTACCTTTGTGCAAGCTTTTGGTTTTGAAAGTCGATGAGACAGGCACACATTAATGACATAAAGTGCAGTTGATACAAGTTTGACCTTTTTTTTTTCTTCTTTGCAACCAACGAAACATTATTTTGAGGATGTTAGATACAACACAATTTCATAACCATTGTTCTGCCGAAGAGCTTCTTGCTGAAGTGCAGTTGCTGTCTCTGCTGAAGCTTGTGGAATTACCGTGACCTGGATGACTGAGAACAACCTACACACACAAACCACTGTTCTTGTTCAGATCTAAGCAAATTACACCCTGGCCTCCTCTCTGAAACAAAACTTCAGATGCCCCCCGGGGAAACGTCCTGCTTTTAATCAAAGCATCTGAAGGTCCATGATAAAGATTTACTAGATGATGATGAATTGCTGTAATAGTAACAGTACATCATCAGAGAAAACATCCTCCTTTATCTTACAGCCTGAATGGAGGTGGGGGGAGAAAAAAAAGAATCTCATTCAGATTCACAGCCAGCGGAGAGGGTTGGTCATTCTACCATTATATTCTAATTAGAAATCGTTAAGCTGCATTTGATGATGATGATTTGAGCTCTATTTAAGTAAATGACCAGAATGGCCTCAGAATAGCTGTATTATCTAAGACTCCATCACAATGACTTTCCCTCAAATCTTTCTAGTGCCGCTCTCACACAACAGCGTTATTTCATGGAACCATACATTAGTTGTCTATTCATTCGTCAGTGAACCTAATGTGAGCACACGCTCTGAACACATCAAATGAAGAAAACACCATCCATAACTGAACACTGTCTATTCTGCGCCATTGCACAAATTATATTGTTAAACACTCGACCTGAATGTCTTATTATACAGAACACCCAGCATCTCATAAACTTGTTTGGAACATTGTGAAATGATGTGGAGCTACAAAGCAGCATGGAAAGCTTATAGAAGGAAACAATGAGCTATTTGGAATGACAGCAATCATTTCTGAATGGGTCATTTGGCAGTATAAATAAAAGTCAAGTGAGATGCAGCTAAACGGAATAACAATGTGCATTCACAAACATAACCTAGAAACAGCGTGTTTATCTAAGATAAACAAAAATCCTATTGCAAAAGTACATACAGGCTCAACTTTAGCAATTACTCACCCTGGAAAGGACATTCTATGTGAAGACGTTTAAGTAAAAGCTGTATCCAGAGACAATGTTTAATGTACAATTTAGAAATCTGCGTGGCCGTCATGTACTGTTACAAAAGATTTGTCGAAGCCATGTTCTTCCACTGTCCTCATAATAACGAGTAGTGTTTATATTTTGCCCTTTGAATGGAGGAAGACGAACATAGACAGACACTGAGTCAAGATAAGAAGTGGCTGAACTTAGCAGTGAAACCATCAGACCATAGCAGCTCTGATATAAAAAGCTTTCCTCTGTTATCAAACCCAGTGAGTGTCTGTTCTCTTTCTCAGTTGACACTCTTCTTCTCAACAAAAAGCAATGCGGCTTTTCTGTATCACCCAGAAATGTACAGCTCAGCACACTGTGTCTCACTTAACCGTACAGACGAGCTTTTTTTTTTATGCAGCAACAATTCACAACATATGACATCTCACATAGCAAGGAACAAAAACAATACAGAGAAACCCAACAAATACAAAGTTGTCCTTAGAATCCCTTTGAGCAAACGCAGTGGGAAGGAAAACCGATAGGAGAGCCCTATGGAGGTGGGTGAGGCCAGTAACTGCTCTTTAGAAATGTGTATCTCCAGATCCATAGACGCCTACAGAGAAGACAAAACTCAAACTAAAGGACAGAAAAGACACAATGCAATAGTGAAATAAAACTGTATGGAGACAGGATGAGGAGAGTAGAGGTGCTAAATGCATCATGGGAATTTCCCCAACAGTTAAGGCCTACAGCAACATAACCAAGAGATGGACCAGATGAGCCAGCTTGAACTGTAAGCTTTATCAGACAGGGAAGTTGTAAGCCTAATCTGCCTCTCAAAGCCAAACTGGGAGCTGGTTCCACAGCCGAGAAGCCTGACAACCAAAGCTCTGCCTCCTGTTCTACTTCTGGAAACTCTAGGATCTACAAGTGAACCTGCAGTTTGAGAGCAAAGTGCTCCATTAGAACATTGTGCAATAAGGTCTTTAAGAAATGATGGAGCTTGTTCATTAAGAGCTTTGCATGTGAGAAGAAGGCTTTTAAATTCTATTGTGAATTTCACAGTGAAATGAAAAGAAGCTAACATTAGAGGAATGTGGTCTCTTGATGTTTTGCTGTCAGAACTCTGACTGCAGTTTTTCTAAAAGGTACTGGGACATCCTGAAAAATAAGTTGCAAATGTGTGGAATAGCTTTCCAGTGTTTTGACAATATTGTGACTTTTTTTTTTGGACATTTTTCATGCTCTGTTTAGGCCAAGCTGCTTTATCCACTACTCTCTAATCTTTCATTCTTTGTCCTGAGCACTGTAGTTCCACCCCGCCGTTCCCGTCTCCGTCGATACCTCAGTGGGAATCGTCCCCCCGGTTGCACCAGTCGTATCGACTCTGCTTGGCACACATTGATGTCCAAGCACTTGTAGAACCTGCAGGGTGGCTGACACAATAAAAATGCTCTAATTCCCTTACTATGTGTTGTGGCTTCTTTGACTTTCCCCCTTCTCTGCTTATGTCTCTTGTTTTTCAGTGAAAGATTTCAGGGCTCAGGGAAACTAGGGAGCTGTGCAACGATGTGTTTTGCATGAAGCTTTTGCAGCAATTTAATATAATTGCTGTCAGGTCACTCCTACCTCGATATGAAGGCTAAATGAAAGAATGAATTATTTACAATATTTAAATTTTTATCCAATTGCGGGATTGAAATGTTGTCATCTACCATTTTGGTCTAGACTGAACTGGAATGACTGGATGAACTCACTCCTTTGTTTGTCAGCAGCAAAAATGTCTTTTCATTCCACAACTAGTGCTTGCATAATCTCAAAAGTCTGTTTCTATAGTCTCTGTAACATTTACTGCTTCAAGTGTTAGCTGAAAACTAGTTACCAGCTGGACAGAAAACAGTGTACTATATAGGCTTATAGCTTTTGTGTCTGATTGACTGAATTTCTACTCCAGCCTCTGCCACAGCAGTGCATCTGTGAAAGTGTGTCTCCAAGTATATACCATGCCTTACAAGCTGTACACGTCTGAGGTAGCTCTGTGGTGAAGAAATGCCTGATCCACTCAATTTCCTCCAAAAGTCTCATTCTTCTTACCTGCCACCCGTTTCCTAACTCCTCTCCATCCTATTTCTCTCTCTCTCTCTCTCTCTCTCTCTCTCTCTCTCTCTCTCTCTCAGCGAGTGTATGAAGGTGCAGATTTATGGAGCAGCCCAGTCGCTGATGGCCACAGTCCATCCTAAAAAAAGTGATTTGTTCGGAGATTACAGACACAGAAGACAGAGAGAGAAGCAGTAATGATGCCGCGGGCAGATCATCACCGTGTGTCTGTGTGAGAGAAAGTCGGTGTCCTTCTGAATGTGGTCTCTACTTGGACGACCGTCTCTCAGCAGTGCAGCGATACAGGTCATCTTTAATGAGACCCTGATGTTAACGATAAATGGCTCCAAAAGAAAGGCTTTTTTTTACGAGTCTTGTGTTTCCGTTATTCAAACTAGAGCTTGTTTTGCTGTTGTTTTTTTTTAGCCTGATGACTCATACTTGTGACAATAACCCTTTGTAGGCTTTATTTGCATATCAGACACAACAAAGCGACTCATTTTGAAGGTAAAAAAAAGCCTTAATTGCATCTTGGTGTTGCTGAGTAGCTCAACAGTTACCATCTCACTGGATATCTCTTTCATCACTTTAGGAGCTAACCAAGGACACTTGGAGAGGGCACCTTCAGTCTCCTCTGCCCAGACCTCCAGCCATATGTGGCCTGGTTTGAGCAGCAGTGTTGATGGGGCTTTTGGCAGAGTGAGATGGTTCCCCCTCTGTTCTACTTAATTACCTGTGTGATGGAGTGGTTCGCCCCCAGCAGGGCCGCTGTGCCGCACCGTGTCAAGGGGCAGGACGGACACGCCGAGCTGACCAGTCTCACCTGCCTCACCTTTCTCTGTCTGTCTTGTCATATGAGATTAATAATAAAATAGCAACAGCCCAAGAGGTGTTTAGTCAGTCTTTCCTTGTCTGATTTTGCTGTTCCCTTTTTATTTTTTTCCCTCTTTTTCTTTCAAAGACACTTTAGCCATTAGGTGATGATGCCACTTGGTAAGCAAAATAGTCAATTTGAGCTTTATTTCTTTTTAATACAGCGAAAGAGCTATTACTGACTGGCCTGAGCTTCATTAGCAAGCCTCCCAGTTGTTTATTGGACTGCACAGAGGACAGAGAACACAAGCCTGGGTGGAGAATAAAGTAAAAGGCACTGAGAGTCCAAACTGTACCCACTGAGTCTGTGCCAGAACACATTAACTGTTGCTGTAGCAACCGTCTCCAAATCAGAAGAAAACTCGAACACTTTAAGCAGACTAATTTCTCAAAATGTCCTCATCCACTGTGTCTCTGTCTTCTTGCTCCTCATCAGCCTCCTCTGAAGATAAAATATTCTTGAATTCTGAATCCCTAAAGGAAGCGTTACAGCTGCGGACACTCAGCGGCTGATATAATTGAATAAAAAGTTTATTCAAGGGGCAGGTGCACATTCAGGGATTTTATTTGCTTTCAGCCATATCTTTATTTAAATTCCAGACATCACTCATAGAGACAAACACTATAACTGTCTGTGACATTGATAGCTGATCTCCAGCCTCTCTTCCAGAGTTGCACTGAATTTCAGGAGACTTGTTTCTGTCTCCACTCTGAGAGCTAAGTGGAGATAATGAGCATTCGTTCAGGACCTTAGCCTCCGTAACCTGGTGAGTTTTCTTGCTAAAGAACTGTGTCACTTCATAGCACCTTTCATTAGCGATGATAGCGTATTCTTGAATGATGAGGCAACCTGCTGTCGGAACAAAGACTCCCAGAGTGTCTGAGGAGGTGTGTGGGGGTTTGCTCAGGTGAACGGGGCTGCGCCTGTGGAGACACTTATCACCCACAGCAGAAACAGTCTCATGCATGCCCAGAATTCTCAACGACATTAGGCCGACTTGCAGTTTGACGAAGAGAACAGTTCTGCTTTCAAATGCAAATGCAAATTGAAAAAATAGGAACTTCCATATTGTCTGTGTAGAGTTTGTGTTTTACGATGTTATGTGAACATGCACATAATGAGTGGGTGGGTGTACCGTATGTATAGGTAGATTTTCTCCAACCTTGTTCTATTTAAAGCTGTTTATTATTACATTTCATTTCTTTTAGATTACACATTATTTAATGAAGCTGTAGTACAAGCTGCCTGTTCGTTCTTATGCAAACATGTTGATGTTTACTGGCTGAAAGTAGTAAAACAACTTGTGCAACAGCCAAACTATTGTTCTGGACGTTTGACCACAAACCTAACTGAGTCACAGCAACAAACACAGAGAGAAGTGAAAGAATTTTCCAGAATGTGTACACAGTCAGACGTATAGTGACCTTAAGAATCAGTTATTGCGGTTATTTGTTGAGAAACTGGAGTTTTGACGTTACACTGTCACTGAGATGTGTTATGATGCAGCAGTGACTGGGCCCAACTGAAACATCCCCATCTCTTCATTTCACACCTTTGTCAGTCTGCTTCTTTCAGTTCCTACTCACATTTTCCCCACTCTCAATGTGAATCACTACTTAAATACTCAATTATACTAAAACATAACCTAATAGCAATGCAGTGGAAACCCCACAGTGGTGGTCATGATTCAATTTGGTAAAATGTTCAAATCCTGCACATGCTGTAAAGGCTCCCAAGAAGACACGCAAAGCCATATTTGAATAGCAAGCTTTGAAATCAAATTTAAAAGATACAGAAACCTGATTTGTATGTACAGATGTAAACTGTAAATATGAACGGAGCAGCTGTAGCTGTGCAGTGGCAAACAGAGCCATGGATCTCTTAATGACTTAAGAGTTCTTACAAATCACATTTACGTCACTCAGTGTGTGTGTTTCGCACATTTCAACCCTGTTTCAGTCGCCACATCCTGATAGGCTCCAACTGAGCAGCGGTGCGACATCCTGCCCACTAAGAGCGGCTTATTGCTACTGTAGTTACCTACTCATCACAGTCCTGCTCGCAACTGTGACACCCAACTTGACCTGATGTAATCCTCAAAGTCATTTTTGCTTCGGACGACAAGGTCTCGACTGATCACTTCATCTCTCCTCGTCCTCTGGAGCGCTCATCCTCTGGCGCGACAGCAGCCTCAGCGCGCTGCCCCGAGTCAAGGCGCTACAAGAAGTGAACGTTGCGGCGAGACGGCGTCTGTGGGAGGCTTCTGTGAATGACAAGCTGCTCACGGCGAGGTGGAGAGAAGCGATAAGAAGAAGAAAAAAACAAAAAACCCTGCAAGGAGAAGCTCCAGCGACGAAGTCCCGGTTTTGTTTACCCTGAACCGGAGCACGGAGGAGCGCCGCTGCGTATTTGAGTTTTTACGCACAACTGGAAAAGAGCGAACTGGGGGCGTCCGTCTGTCACCACCATGTCCGCGGCAACAGCTTCCATAGCAGATGTGTCCAGAACTGATCTTACAAACAGAGATGGCAGCCGGAGAAACTCAGGTAAAAAACAAATGGTGTCTAATTCATACGAGGCCAACGTGAAGGATGCGTAGGGGGATTGTTTTTGACACCTTGTAGAAATGCCAGCTCGAGTTTGAAGTTGAGCTTCTTGGCCCCTAAAATATCACTGCAACATTTTCTGGAGGTGTGTGTGTGTGTGCGAGAGAAGGAGAGTAATGGTAGACTTTCCTCTTGTGCAATATCCCTTCAGGGACTTAGACTACTTGCTGTGATAGCAGTTTCCTAACAATTGCACTGCAGGATTAATAGCCAATGTGATGCATTGTTAGATTGTCTTTATTGTGGGTGTGTGAAGAATAAATTGCAACAACATTTTATTTTTATTTTTTTTACAAAGCAAGCATACACAGTGTTGGATTGGTGTGTGATTAGTAGATAGTTGACTTAAAATGTCAGAGATTTCATAATTAAAGAAAAAAGAAAGACATAAAGAAAGAGAAAGGGCACAACGGAAGGAAGAAAAGGAAGTGAAAATGTGGGTTTAACGTTAGAAACTCGCCCCCAGGCACAGCTGGACACCTCACACACGCGCTCACGCAACCACAAACACACAGTTACATAAAAGTGATGCTCTCTACTTGTTCTGTGTGTGTGTGTGTGTCCGTCCTTGTGTTACATAAACGTGAATATGGTGAGATAATGCTAATGGCCTTCATGGGAGTATTTATCCCAGTTGAGTCTGGCCCAGTGCCACAGCAAAATCTGTTCAGAGGAGGGAAAATGTGCATGTTCTTGATGTGGCGTCATCCTTTGTTTCTTTCTAAACGTTAGTCTCAATGAAACCCGGAACTTTTGATATAGTTTGATGCCCCTTGTGGCACTGAAAATGCACCACATGCCTTTCCTAGAAATGCACTGCCTCAATGAGATTCTTTTCCTATGTTCAATAAATGCAAAGTGGAAAGTGTCTAGATCCCTCCTCCGTCACAAGTCTGTCGTGTTTAGGCAAGAGGAAAAATACAGAAGCAGGTTCTTCTCAGTAAACAAGATGGTTTTGTCTTTTCCTGGCACTCATCACAGTATCCTTCCCAGCTTTGTTGGAAATCACCGAATTGAAGTCATTGTGTTTATTTGCTTTCCAGCAGCTTGTTTCATGATGAAGTCATATTCGTGTGCTGTAGGCTCATCATGACAGACTACTGCTGCACCGAGCAGACACAGCCAGAGTCCTCCCTTCCTGTAATATGCGAAGCTCCGTGCTGTTATGTATGATAACTAGTTGTTTAGCATGGCTCCAGATGGCTCGTGTGTTTCCAACAACCTTGCAGGCCTTTTGTTTAATGATTTATCACACTTCCTGCTTTGATACCGTTAGAATTTGATGCAGCACGGCGCCGGGCTGTCACAGTAGGCTTGTTTTTTGTCACACAGCCCTATAGAGGTTCAGTGCTGATAGCTGTGCAATGACTGTCCCGTTCCACTCTGAATCTCATCTGCAGTATTCTCTGGTTTTTTTTTTGTATGTTTGTTTTTTGCTCACACAGTTCACCCTGAATTGTTGTTGTGCAGCTTATGAATTCTGAGTTGTCAGATCATTTCTATGAATACAAATTTTCTTTTGAAGATGCATGAATTATACATGTACCCAAACTTTGAGTGAACTTCATTAATGCATATTTAACATCTACATCATAATTGAGTCAGAAAAACTTTGTTTGTTGTGCACTGTCTGATTAATATCATCAAATGACCACCAGCTCTCTGCCTTAGGTCATCCCCGGACTCAGTGCATGCCCATCCCCTTGCCGGCTCTGGGCACCCAAAAGATCATCCAGGGCAATGGCACTAATGTGGGCACAGTCATTTCCCTACAGTGTCCAGCCACACACAAACTGATGGGCAGTGAGGTGAAATGTGTCATGGACACCAACAGCACCCACTGGGTGGGGGAGACCTACTGTAAACGTAAGTAAAAACAAAGAACAGAAACTTTGAAAATTGCAGATAATATAAAAAGAATGATGTTTGTTAGTCACCTGGATGTACCCAGGCTCATGCAGCCTCATAAATCTATTTGTTCATTCATTTTATCATCAGAATGCGTGTGTGCAGATTAAATGTTCCGAGTTATTTTACTGGGAGAATTGCAGAGGCTGCAAAACTTCCCGTGGACCGTCTGTCAGCTCATTATTCTGAAAAGATGGAATATATATTGAACATTATGTAACAGGATTGTGGCTATGGGCAAAGTTACATGAAGACAATTAAGGTAGTATTTGGCTTGCAATAATTACCACTTTAAATTGCGTGGGAACACACTTGAGAGAAAATAATTTGCTGCTTGTGGCTAAAGCTCATTAAAGGATAATATTAATGCTAATATAGGTGGAGAGGAATTATTTCAAGCAGGTGCACAGTCAGTCAGTCAGTTTTTTTTTTTTTTTTTTTTTTTTTTGGTGTGTGAGTGGAAAAAGTGACGGCAGAATTTTAATTATATTTCAGAATTAATCATCTTGGGAGAGAAGAAGCTGTCTGATATGAAACTGAAAGAAATTAAAAATCAAATTTATGTTGTATTGTCCTTGCCACGATGAGCTGGCAGGTGCACTTTGTGGCAAAATGGCTTTTTTTTTTTTTTATTTCTGCCAATATCTTTTGGATAGTGACAGCAAAGGAATTGTGATATATTTGATCAGTCTATGTGGCCGACCCTATCTGTAAACCTGAAGTGCTCTGTAAGTGTTTTAAGGCTGATTGGAAATTGTTAGACATAGATTTAGCAGCAACATATAATAATTTGTCTAATGTGTTGAGTGTATAACATGGAAATAAATTCAAACTCTCTTCTGCGTTCAGCTCTGTCTCGCTTTGAGGACTATGGTTTCCGTGTGGCTGTCCTGGCGTCCATTGTGAGCTCCGCTATAATCTTTTTCATGTCTGTGGCCTTCATCACCTGCTGTTTGCTCGACTGCATCAAAGAGGACAAAAGGAAAAAGCAGGAGAGGTGAGTAGTGGAAACAAAAAAGTACCACCAGCAGAATGGAGAGGTATTTTAAGTAACAGTCCTTCAATTAAAATTATATGCAAGTTAATGTGCATAACCATTATTGGCAAAATATACTTTAGATAAGGAAAATTATTCACTGCATTGCACTTCAAAATAATGAATGTTTATATGAATGCATCATGCATAAGTAGTAGCTGAGGCTGAGATGGAGCAAGTTTTAAATATGTTAGGCTAAAAGGGAGCAACATAAATTTGACTGGCCATGAGATGAATAATTGTTGTGTTTTGCGAATCTGAATTAGTTTTTTCTTTAACGTTTGCCACCTTTCATTGACTGAGAAGTTTGGAGATAAATTAGTAAGAAGCCCTAGATAGGCACTGTTTTTCTCAAGGTAGCAAGCCAGAAAGATACAACTAGTTTAACCTTTAAAAAAAAAAGAAAAAAAAAAGTGTTGTATTTTAAAATTTCATCACATACTTAAAGAAAAGAAAAATCTCAATGAAATTTAGTCAAATAAAGTACAAACAACCTAAAAGAAAGTGAAAGCACCTAAAAACTGTTAAAGCAAAACCAAAGTATTGAATCAGTCAGTTTTTGGTGATGCGTTTTCAAACTGGGATACTGACATGCAGATTTGAATTCCTCTTTGTGCCAGCGAGTCAGATTACTGGCAATGGGAGGAGCAGGCCCAGCATCACGAGAGCAGGTCCCGCTACAGTCGAAACAACAACAACAACAACGCCCAGGAGAAGCCGCCTTCTCTGTGGGACACCGGTAACCCAGCCCTGTGTGACAACATGAGATCCTGCAGGTGAAGTGTGACCTGAATGCTCAAAAAAAAAGGGACAAAACATTCAAACTAACCTGTAAACTAACAGAAACATCTCTGTATCTTTCCCTCCACAGATGTCAGCAGCAGTACGCCTATGGTTCTGCCTGCGCCTTCGGCCCCACGCCTCCGCTTGCCCCTCTTCCCGGACACAACTATGACCAGCCTCTCTTACCCCGAAACCCAGAACCTGGTCCACCTCAGTACCCCGGACCTCCTGTGTCCCCCAGCGAAACTGCAAGCTCAGACCTGGTCCAGATCTCGGCTGTGGGATCTGGTTTGGTGTGGCAGTACGGAGGGCAGCAGAGCGGTTCATCAGGGGGAAACCCATCTGCCACTGATGAGTCCGGCATCAGAGACATGAACGCAAACAGGAATGTAAACGTCAAAGAGTTTTCCATAAGGATTATATCAGTGTGAGGACACACAGGATGTGAATACCTTAAGTTAAGAACTTGTTTACAGGACAGATCTGTAAAACCTTGTTAACTATAAAACAATGCAATGCTACACAGTGTAAAGGCTCTATATACAAACTGATCTGACAGACTAACTGTATGTGCCTTTATGTAAACTGTGATGATGCACTGCCCTCTGTCTGCATAGGGGAGCCATTGCACTTTCAGGACTTGATGTGGATGACGCCCCCTTGTAATGCAGAGGTCAAGAGATTTGTGCTGTTGGGGTCATTACACTTGTATAGCTTACAATATGTTGTGGACATTTGAGGACGTTGTCTTGAAATTCCACCTTTGCTGGACAAGCAGAGCAGCTGGAAAACATTGACCAACATGTAAATATTAACTTTAAGGAATCTAAATAAAGGAGAGACTTCTACTAATACTGAGTGACATGTTGAAGTGGGGACAGTTCAACAGTGTAGATGTCTTTGTGCAACAAAACATTAGGAGGTGAGCATTGTTCAAATGGGACACCTGGCAAAGTTGGGACAGTTAAGCTTTGCAATGAGTATCTTTTCAGGGGATACCTAAAATAACCTCAAACCAGTATTATGTGTTGTTGAAAAAGAATTTGATTTAAAAAAAATAAAATTAATTAAAAAGTTCACACTAGTAAAAAATCCTGAAAGTGGGAGTTAGAGCAGATACAGTGACTCTTGATCTCACTATCACAGATGTAACTGAAATAACATTCGTGTTCTGACATTAAAATTGCTAAGCTTGTAAAAATCTAAAAGCAAACATTCACCATTTGATTCCAGTTTATTTCATGTCGGGATGCAATTATGTATCGAAATTGCTATGAATCAATTTTATTCTCCTTTTGTCCTTTTCAAAAAATGCAAATTTTGTTAGTTTCCCATTTTGCCAATTGCATATCATTAAACTGGGATGCCCCGATAATGTTGAAATGGGAAACTGCTCTCAGTCTTTTTGATAGAAAAAGAAAAAGCTTTTTGAGAATCACAAAATCCATGCTGTGTTTAAAGAAACCACATATATAAACGAGATCAAATACAATATCTCTTACTAGCTAGTGCTGGAACTAAACTAAGAAGCTACTCAACTACTTCTAAAATTACCACACCAAAAAAAAAAAAAGCCTATCCCAGCTGACTTAGGGTGAAGGCAGGGGACACCCTGGACAGGTCACCAGTCTATCACAGGGCTACATTTAGAGACAGACAACCAAGCACACTTATGTTCACACCTACGGACAATTTAGAATCACCAATTAACCTCAACATGTTTTTGGACTGTGTGGGAGGAAGCTGGAGAACCCGGAGAGAACCCACACTGCACGGGGGAGAACATGCAAACTCCACTCAGAAAGAACCCAGGTGTCCCCACTGGGACACGAACCAGCGACCTGCTTGCTGCGAGGCAATGGTGCTAACCACTGCTCACCTTGCAGCCCATTATTATTATTGCTATTATTATTATTAGTAGTAGTAGCAGTAGTAGTAGTAGTAGTAGTCGTGGTATTTCATTTTATTTTTTCGCACCAGAAGGTACAAAAACACAAGTATTTCAGTTGTGTTGCAGTTTTTTTTAAAATATCCAAATTAATGGTGTCCTATTTTGCCAGTAGTGTTGATTAAAAAACAAACAAACAAAAAAAAACGATGTCAATATCTGAGGAGTCATTAGTTATGGTTTTGATTGATTTGTTGTTGTTGTTATTATTATTATTATTATTATTATTAGTAGTAGTAGTAGTAGTAGTAGTATTAGTATTATTATTATTATGAACTATACTATATTGTAGGGAGGAAGGTTGATGTTTATATAATTGTGTCAAGTTTGCAGAGAGTTTAACCAACACTCACTATATAATAATAATAATAATAATAATAATAATAATAATAATAATAATAATAATAATAATAACTGCCCCAGTGCAGTCATTAGTATAAATAGCATAGTTAGCTGGTGAGCCCTCTGTGTCTGGCTGTTTGCAGCACAGAGCTCAGCTGAGGCTCTTCCTGCTAATCTTCCGGTCAGCTCAGCTCAGTTCCGTCTCTGTCCGTCCGGTTCGCTCATCATGCGGCTCTGAGCTCCGTCATGCAGCAGCGACCGTCACACCGGGGGACAGCGGAGAGCCACACCGGGGGGAGGCTGTGGTTGTCGGTGGTCAGTATGGCAGGTTTGTGCAGGAGCAAGGGTGAGATGTTTGATCATTTCCAACGACTTCTAGGAATCTCGCTCGACCGCCCGCTGAGCTGCGTGGGTTCGCCACTTGTTGCTGAAGATTCACAGCTGAAAGTTGAGTCGTTGCTATAGAGATGTGGTACTAAATAGAATATTTCTGGCTCGGTGTGGAGAGTTTTTTGGGCGTTGCTCAACACCTCTTGAAACAGATCTATTTTCTGTCCAAATTTGCAGCCTATAAATAAATATGGAGCTGCTTGGCCTGGTGTTGTGGACTGTCATTCTGCTCAGAGCCACCCAGTCCAGTAGAAACACAGAATGAAGCCCCTTATTCTGTTGCTCTCATCCAAATCTAGTCGTTTACCAGCTAATTATGTAAGTAGGATGAAGTTATTTTTCAAGTTACACCACATATTGACTGATGATTTTTTTTTATTTAATTATTTTTTTTTTTTTCAAAAGCCATACAAATACACTCAAACAAAATACTAATTGCCATAGATAACCTGTTAAAAATGAGTCTGCTCTCTGCAAACTGACTTTTAATCTTGGCAAGAACTGAAACCTGTGCCTAGAAAGTAGAACGATGAAACAAACATGATATACTCATTGTGTTAGTAGTTAATGGGCCGAAAAAGCACCAGATCTGTCTGCTGGCTCCGCTTGTAGAAGTTTAATTTGGCTACATGGCTACTAGAGAGATATTTTTTTAAACTGTCAGCCACTTTGAAAGAATTCAGCTGAGAATAACTGGCTCCTACAGGGCAGCTGAACTTCACCTGTCCTACTAATTTGGCCTTATGCTCTATTAAGAGGTGGTACAAATTATTGCCTATCTGTTGATCAGCTGCAAACATACATATCTGCATTTTTATACTTATGTTTGCATGATTTCTTATGTGTACATTTTTCTTTCTAGTACGTGTGTATCTCTGTGTGTACTGCTGCTGACAACACTGTGAGTTTCTCCACTGTGAGATAAATAAAGGCACATCATATCATATCTTATATTTTTAGTTGTGACTGCCACAAGAAAAGCTCAACAATGTTCACAACAAACAAGCTCGCACGTCACCAACACTAACACATTTCCTTGCCTCCTTTTTCGTCAAAATGCCCCTAATATTCTCTTGTCTCTCTCCTACCTCAGAGGTGAAGATGGAGAGGACATCAACAGTGATTTGGCAGGACGATGTGGCTGCACTACAACAAAATACAGGCCCAGAGCCAACACCATTAACACCTCACAGGCTCTCTCTTGTCTCTCATCACGTCATTTCAACACTATATAGTTAGCCGATTTTGAGTACCAGCATTAGGCTGTAAAAGCAATTGAAATAAAGTGGACAAATTTGCAACGACTGCTTTCACCTTTCCAAACAGGGGAATAAACCTCTTAGTAATTTATTTTCAGAGCAGGACTGGAGCCAAGACCAGCTTACTAATAAACTCCTTAAGGCTAGACATTAAAATCTGCAGGCCCTTTGGTAGAGCTTTGCAGCGTGCCCTAACGATACAGGGTCATAACCTGGTTCTGACCTACACTGTGGCACACAACAACTTTTGAGATCAGTGTCGACATTAAGGTTTGCTCTGTGGGGATGAGTGCATTTTATGAAATGCTTTCTCTTCAATTTCTCCCTGATCAGACGCTGACGGCTACCAGGAGCAGCTGGAGAATGACGCCCAGTTCCTGTGCTCAGATCAGAGGATGGACACTGAGCTGGTTGACAGACTGGTGCTGCAGCTCAACAGGATTTACCCCCAGATACTCAGTGACAAGGAAGCCCACAGGGTCACTACGGATTATATGTGGCACATACATAAAACACACATTATATCCTTGAATTGAATCTACTAAACAGATGTGTACAGTGATTCAGCGCAGCCTGTGTCTCCCTGCAGTTCAGGAACCTGAGCGTGCCCACGACGGTGCGTTTAGCCGAGCTGTTGAATCATCTGCACAGAAGAGGCGAGGAGGCTTGTCATGAATTCTACAGAGCGCTTCACATCCACGCTGAGGACGTCTACTTCAGCCTGCCCACCAGGATCAGACGAAGAGGTAAAGCACAGAGAACAGGGCTTCTGGAGGTTGCTAAGCAGGTGACAGCTCTCTCTTCTCAAAGATGTGGTCCTCACAAACTCTGATGGTGAATTTATTTTTGAGTTTGGCACTCTGAACTCTGAGCTTTTTCTGCTATGATCACATTTTCACTATCAAGTCCTGCACCTCTGTGGAAACAGCATAACCATGACCTGAAGTACAGAGAACTCAAAAATGCTTCTGTGCTGTGTCACAAAGTTATAATTTTATATGTCCTAAAAAGCAAAAACAAAAGTTGCTTTTTTTTTCTTTTAATTGAAAAGCACACGATAGTTAATATGAACATTTTTTCCACGTGCCCACAGTTGTTACCAACACTGGAAAAACAATGGTACAGTATAGAAATTGTATTACTTCAATTTTTAATTTGCTTTCATAGTTGACTCCAAGGTGGCTCAGTGGTTAGCACCGTAACCTCACAGCCAGAAGATCCCCGGTTCACATCCTGGTTAGGACACCCGGGATCTTTCTGTGTGGAGTTTGCATGTTCTCCCTGTGCAGCGTGGGTTCTCTCCTGCTTCCTCCCACAGTCCAAAGACATGTTGAGGTTAACTGGTGATTCTAAATTGTGAATATGAGTGTGCTTGGTTGTCTGTCTGTACGTACAGCCCTGTGATAGACTGGCGACCTGTCCAGGGTGTCAGCTGGGATAGGCTCCAGCCCCCCGTGACCCCAGTGAGGATTAAGCGGTGTGTAGATAATGGATGGATGGACTTGTCTCCTATCTGCTCCGTGTAAACACAGCCTGCAGTTCAATTGAATTCAATCAAAATTCTCAAAGTTTTTGTCAGATGACTGTTGGTTGCTGCTGTGTCACAAATGGCTTAAGGTTTGCACCAATGACTGCAGATTCTTCCCTTTTTAAAAAAAAAAATACTCTGGTAGCTGTGTTTTATTTTGGGGGATTTATAAAATGAAACATGTATAATAAGTGTTTTTGAAGAAATATCCCAATGTTAAACAGAACAGAACATCACAGATAAGTACTTTCTAACTTACTAAGCAACTGAGTTGATTTTGGAAAGATAGTGTGCCTTTCAACCCTGCGGGAGGGTTTGGAGGATCAGAGGGTTACAAAGTAAACTAGTGCAGAAATTGTTGAAAAAGTCTGTAGGAGTGACATCAATAACTAGAAAATGCCAAAAGATGTGCGTGGCAGAGTCAGTGTTCAAACACATCATCTTGTGGGTTTTAAAAGCTGTTGGTTCATCATTTTCTAAAACTCCTGTGCAAGTAATTACACTGACGCATTATCAGGCAGTTTTAACCCTAAAAGATCATCTCAGAGTATGTTGGGGTTGTCTGTAATAGTTCAGCTATACTTTAAAACACCATTTTCTTTTTCTGTCATGTTTAAAAATGCAAAGTCTCCATTTTATCCCATCTGTTTGAAGTGAGGCGGTTAGACAAATCCCACGAGCAGCCTCCATAGTGTCCTCTAATGGTGGCTCCCCTTCTGTGTAATTTCCCTGTCTAGCTTTGTGTAGGTTTATCCTGTTTAAGATGCAGAGAGAAGCCAGTGTGCTGCAGTTCAAGCAGCGGGTCTGACATTGGACAGGTTGTTATTTAAAGTGTGGGTGTTTCTCTTTAACCCCTTTTACTTTTTTGTTGCAGAGCTGGCTGATGTAAAACAAACTAACGATGTGGCAGTTAAGTCAAGTCAAGAGCGTTACGTCCTTAATGACAGAGGTAAATCGAACCGACCTCTCTGTGCTGATTCCAACAGAACAATAGATGGTTTTCTGTTTTTCATTTACAGCTTCAGATTTAATAATACAACAGATGTCTTTTTACTCAAACGCTGGTTTAACATAAAGGATCTCAGTCGTGGTTTCACAGGTTTCAGCCCAGTTATTCTCGTCATACTCTGCAACATTCTTCATGAACTGTTCTCCAGTTTTTCATTTTTGAAACAGCGTGAAAAAACATTTAAACTTCCTTAAAGTGGGTAATCCATCACAGTAGGCAATCATGCAGCTTCAGTTGTTGTCAAGTTTATACAACAACATGATGAGATCTAACCATGTAGGGATGCAGCTCTGAGCAGGAACTAATATTCTTCCTCTCTGGTGTGTTCAGGAACACTTCTTAAAAAACTTTTATGATCGTATCATATATTTGATTTGTTTCCCTGACAACAGAGCTCATAAATGCTTTACTGTTAGCAGCTGAGTTAATCAGTTCTGCTGATTTTCTTTGGCTACTCCTGGGTTCTTTAAAAGCCACACAAAAACAGTCAAACAAAGTGATCATTGTGATGGATTACCTGTTAAGAAAAAACGTCTAGTCTCTGCAAATTGACTTGTAATCATTCACTGGCATGAACTAAGCCCAGAAAAAGAAAACAAACAGGGTGAAAAATGATGGTTATGGATAATCATTTGTAGATATTGTTTCCAAAAAATCTTTTATCTTCCTGTTGACTCCAGTTGTAGAAGTTTAATTTAGCTTCTAGAGAGTTTTTTTTTCCTTTTCTAAATATGCTAGCCGTACAGTTTGTGGGAGTGTGTGTGTGAGGGTGCCTCTGTACCCCCTCGCTGATCCTCAGATAAGCCCCTTAAGCTCAACTAAGCTTTGTTCTTCAGCAAACGTAGTTGTCTGCTGAACCTTTTAACCCCAAGCATCAGAATGTGGGCCCCACTGCTCTGTACTGCTGCACCATTCATCATCCCATTACATCCAGGGCTCTGGCTTTGTGGGTCAGTTAAGCTCACGTGCAAAGCAGCTTCCTCTGTGCTGCATTCCTTTGAACAGTCAGGGGTGCATCCAGGGGGTCAAAGGTGTGTCAACAGGGAAATGGGTCATCAGTGATGAAGCGAAGCACTGGCTTCCAATTATTGGTCACAAAAAGAAATGATTACTTGTTTAGATTGTGAACAACAAAACATTTATTGTATGTATCTTGACTTGTCGTGTACCAGTTAACATTTCAGTTTATCTTTAGCTTTTTAGTCTATATCATTGATTAGATAAACACTGATGTTTCCCACCTGATGATAAGATATTCATGTCTTCATAGGTTTTATTTATCCTTGACTAACTTCACTTCTTTTCTTTCTTTCTGCAGGACCAATGTTCTTCCTGAGTTGTTTCAGTTTTGTAGTTGGAATTGCAATTCTCTACTATTATGGAGGTGAGTCATACAGAATGACAGAAAAGTGTTCACATTTATTTGTTCATGTGCAGTTCAAATTCATTTTGAATGTCAAGACTCGGTTAATTTGCTTAAACCACTCTCTACATACTTCTTCAAACTCTTCCTTTTTTTTTTTTTGCCACTTTTTTTTTTCACACACAGAGGGTGAGACATTGAGATGTACCGGAGGGTTTCTTCCCTGCCCTGCAGCAGCGAGGCTTAGTAAAGACGCTAAAGATGTTTTCATTTCCTGTGCAGAGGATGGAAAGCAGAAATAATAAGGTGCTGAAATGCTTAAGAACTAGTCCTGTGAAAAGAACAAGCCATGACATTTGCCTCTTTGCCGTGCCAAACCCATGTGAACTCACAGAGTTGTAACATTGTCTTTTCTGGAATTGCACATATTAATGTAGTAATTTAAGTGGAAAATGACTAACTGAGAACTAAAACGGACTCATTCTGTCACAATTTTTAACTGACTGACATGTCTTAAAAATGACAAAGAAGTGTGTAATGTTCTCCCATTGTACTTTTGTGAGAGTCTTGATTAATTTCTTATGTGTGCACATTTATACATTTCCCTTTTTAAAAACTAAAATACAGCATATTAATAACTTGTGTACCTGCACACTTGCAAAGGTGTTTTCAGTTACTCTAGACTGAGTCAGTTTAAGTAGCTGTCACTCAAGAAATATTTAGGTTGTTGGCCAAAAGAAAAGGGAAAGAGCTCGAGTGCAGTTTGTGCACACCAACACTGTTCTGAGAAGAGGCTCTATTCAGGCCACCCAAGTGAAAACACCTGTGTGGGTAGACAATTGGTGTGCACAGGCTTTAACACACTAACTTGAATTTAATAGTGCACAACACATTCTGCAACGCAGTTTCTTAAATGCACAACAGATATTTCCAGCACCTTAACCCACGTGCAGTGCCTTGTCATACTGTGATAAATGGACTGTTGAGAATCTGCTTACTCAAGTGCACTATCACAATGTTGCATTTTGCTGAAATAAAACACAAAATATTAACATAATCTGGGGGTTGCATGTTATTTTTAATCCACTATGACAAATAATTCACAAAGATGTATAGATAGAAGTCTGTATACAATGAAATATCCTTAAATACTGTATGCTGGTGTGGGAGAAATTAACAATAATGAGCAGCACAGTGTTGTGATCAGCTTCTCTAGGTTTGTGTCTGGCACTATTTAGTCTGCTGCCAGACCCAGTTGTTTGCCTGCACTGTCAACATGAAATGGAGATGATATTTATCTCATTGATTGAGCAACATGAATAAATACACTAGAGGGCACTGCTCCCTCATTCAGCACACCAGTGTAGGAAACGAGGATGATGGAAAATGTTCTGGTGTGGTAGAACAATGACAATCAAAAGCAGGAGACGGTCCTCATTAATTAATAATGAAATCAAATTGATTGAATGAGTAAAATGAAGTTAATAAAATGCTACATTAAAGGCTGTTTGCTCAATTGCTCCAGACAGACTTGTACGTCTTATGGATGTATTTCCCTATCTGATTCTCATCTTAAATATTCTAATGGAACATGGTCACATCTGAGATGTTATATGCAGCACAGCGGTGGAGGAGAGTTCAAGTGTCTGATCTCTGGAGATTTGCTGCACTGAGCAACACTTTCTGCCTCTGTCTTCCCTGCAAAGAGAGAGCAACAGATGAGAGAGGGGAGTCAGAGAGGGGAGGGATGGGGAGGTGCTAAAGGGGGTTGGAAATGTCACCAGAGTGATTGTTCAGTTCCTATACTGGCATCCACGTTCCCACGAGAGGGGCTATTAATAGTGTTGCTTCACAAGAACTGAAACTCCTCATTGATCACCAGCATCCTCTGATGTTCGACCCCCACAGAGTCAGTTTGTTTAACTCCTCGAGTGGGATGGAGCCAGAACAGTAGGAACCACAGATATACATTATGTATAGATATCAGTCTGCAGATCTGCCCTGAGTGGAGCTGTGTGTATCATCAATCTGGCTCTTGGCCGGTCTGGTTGTTTCCACGGTTACCAATGATAGTTGTGGAGGAGGAAAAGGATAAGATTGTGACGTTGGTTTGTCATCTGAAAGGTGCTTTGTCACAATCACATTGAAGAAATTTGAACTATGAATATGAATATTAGTCAGGCATTTAGCTTGTAATCGTGTGGAGCAGCTTCGAGGTGCTTTTATATTCTTGTGATAAGCCACCGAAGTGTATAAAATGAGCATTTGCCCGGACTCTAATTGGGGTTTCAGTGACACTGCTGAAACACAGTCTAATTAAGGCTTCCATTTTAACAAGTAGTTCTGCTGGGGTCTGTGCCTTGTTGACTCTGACTCACCAGCTGCTGCTGGTCCACAGAACCACAGACACAGTCCAGCTTTGCTCATAGCAGAGGGATTCGTGGCACAACCAAGCATTGTTATAATTGAATGTTAGGCCTGACGCCTGTGGTTGGGGACAGATGTGACACTAAGGTTAAAGCTGTGGAGGTGGGCTGGAGCTTTGAGGCAGATGAGGCACACCCGGCTGCACACACGTGAGCTCAGCAGACCCATCAAACCTCCCGGTCCGACCTGCTCGGAAAAGAACATGTCATGCTGCTCAAACGTCATCAGTGCAATTAAAAATTAAAGTGTGCTCAGCTTTGTGTGCGAGACTGCGGTTGTGCGTTCGCGTCTGGCTCGTGCTCGGGGTCACTGCCGGACAGAAAAAGGAGACAGACAGCATGAGGTCACATGTGCTTGACTGCTGTTGTCTCCACTTTCCTGTTTGTCCACCAGGAACAAATGTTGTGTTGTTTACGCACCAGACCCCTTTGTCAGTACGGCTGTTTCTTTCTTGTTCGTTGTTTTTTCTGTGTGGCTGCAACAGCGAACGACAATGAACTTCTGGTAAATTACCAGTTGTTGGGTTTGTTTGACCTGTTTGTTGGTGGAAATTTCTCTGAGAGCCTGGAGAGGTCAGTGTGTTTGTAGGTCAGGTAGGGGATTGTGAAGGTCGGAGCAGAAGAAGAGAGGAACAAAAACATGCTGACTACATGGATGTCTTTAGGAGCAAACTGCATAGTTAGGCAGGAGAGAAAATACCTGTTTGAACAGAGATAAAGGAGCAGTAAAAGAGGGGCACAATGAAGAATATATGGGATTTGCAAAACAAACAAAAAAAAGATGGAAAGAATACCTGCTTGTTCTTGATCAGTTGCTGTGTTTTGGTCGGTGGACTCCAAAGGCTGTGATGAAGACATTAACCACCACGATGATAAAAACCAGACCTGTGGTCAAGTTTTCCATAAAGTTCAGCCTCCAGTGTTTTTGCTCATCATTCAGGTTCCATCGAACTGCGGACAACAGCAGGAAACAATATTTCACACAAATTGCATTCAGTGAACGTTTAAACAAGCATCAGCCATTTACTTTATCGAGGGACTAAAGCCAACTCGCTATGATATCCATATTTACTGTCAAACACAAATCTATATATAATTAATTCTGGGTTTAGAGAGCTCGTTTGTCTAAGAATGATCCTACAAAAATATATCTTATACTGTATATATCACATTTCTTGGCAAGACCATATGAGCAAAAGGTAGTAATATTCCGTTTTTCCCTCATACAAAGAAATGCAAATAAATGCAATAAATTGTATACATTTTTTTTGCCTCTTGCTGTTTTGTGTGATGTCTGTTTGACAAAATCTCTGCTGAACAAAATTTCATACTTCATGAATAACTGATTTTTTTCATTTTAAATTGTATAATATACATTAATACAAAATCACTCACCAAAGGAGCAATTAGACAGTGAGCTTGCAAACACGACAAATACAATGCTTTCGTGAAAAACTAACAATATGACACAGTATAACACCACTTAAACTATGAACTATGTTCATCTCCATGTATATCAAACTTATGTGTTATTTTTAGGCATCAGTCAATATTGTTGATCCAATATCAAGTATCTGATTCAAATCACACAGAAGGAACAATACAGGGCAAGAAAATGAAGTGATCGAGGGAACCATGTGTTTCCTATGTAACGCTGTGTCATTTCATTTGTGCTGTGTTGACACTTGACCTAAAAATTGTTGTTTCTTTTTTTAAATTACACAAAAACAACTAATCCATGCTTTAAAAATGTTGTCATCTTCAGCATTATCATCAGGGATTGGCCCATGAATAATGTTTAAATGAATGCTTTTTCCCAGAAATGTATGTGTACACTTGCTGTGACTCCACAAGGACATGATGTATGTGTGTATTTGTAGGTAATTACCAAAGGTTAAATGGTGTAAGGTCCCCACCTGATCTGTGTGT